ATATTCAAATTGGGAATAAAGCAGTTGACTCAGCAGGAAGTAAGAAATGGATAAAGTAACTTGCTGCAGATGAAACTTAATGTTACAGCTCTTTCATTAGCCCATGAATGGCTAATTGGATTTATAATTCTTTCATAATCTGTCTCTGCAGCTTAATTATCAGATTGTTTTTATCTTATCCTCATCTTCTCTAAACTGATGAGACCCTCCAAGCCCAAATCCCTAATTACCGATACATACAGGCCATGTTAAGAAGGCCAGAATAACATGGGCGCCGATGACAGTACAGTGGTGGGGTCAATGGGGGGCTACAGAGGGCACCGGCAGACTTAAAGATGGAGTGATGGGGAGAAGAGGGATAAGAAAGGGGTGATGTAAGGGTGAAGCGAAGTCTGCACGCTTTTGGCTTGTGGTCAACAGGTGGGCCTCGTGTGCCGCCGCCCCCCTTACACAATCTCACAGAGCACCAGCTAAAGAAGAGGACTTTAGCCAAGATCTGTCTGGCAGACAGAGAGGGGGGGATTTCAGCACCAAATCCAGCGGATCAATAAAAATGTCTGCTAATTAGGCTTTCCAGAAAAGAGGAGAAGGAGGGGGCGGCAGGATGAGAGTGAGGAGGAGGAGAGAGAGAGGAAAACATGACCGCAGCCAGTGCTGATTCAGAAGTCTAGACAGATAAGGAAAATCCCCAGACAGGCGTGCCTGGCCCGCTGCGGAAATCAGGTGAAGTGCACGAGGTAACACCCCACCTTGCGCCAGAGGAGTCTTGCCAAGCATCACCCTCCCCTCCCCCTCCCCTCCCCACCCTGCCTCCATCACTCTCCACCTCCAGGCTACCGCGATCAGTTTCTCTGACCCCAATCCTTCCTCCTCCTCCTTTTCCTGCCCCTCCTCCTTCCTTCTACTCTGGACATCACCACTTTGACCTAAATCTCCCCGTTTAATCTACTTCTTCTTCTCGTCTTTTGGATAACAATCAACCCCCCTAATTGTCTTAATCTCACTGGTCTTTTATTGTCCCCAGGGCGTCATGCGTACCGCAGAACAAAAACATTAACCACAGATCAATACTTGGCATCAGGCCGCGACTAGCACCATGGGCTTTATCGATTTTCACTCATTTCAGGTCGGGTTGCGCTGCTTGAGGAATTAATTGGAATAAAACAGGGTGGGGTAGGTCAAGAAAATTATATTTTTCAGCTATCAAGTGAAGTGATTGTTGAGAACGGTTGATTTAATGCTTTAAAAAAATCAAAATAAAGGCAAAACTCAGATCAAAGTGTCATAAATCAACATTAAATGCCACAGTCGGCAATATTTGATAAATAGATGAGCAGCAGCACTGCCTAAGATTAAGTTTAATAAAATTCACAATCTGTCAAATAGGAGACAAATAACATTTTGCGCATCTGTGGATCAAATCCATCTTAAAAAAGCAGAGACACAATCCAGCCAGTGTAAACACTTTCTTCAAATCTCCCCAAAGCCTCTTGTTATGCTCTCTAAATAAAACAAATCTGCACATTGTCAATTTATCAAATGGGAAGCTTATGGAATAGCACTCTCAGTTATATTACAATACGGCTTTAGGCCCTGATCCAAAGATATTAGCTCTGAAGCGGCGGTATAAGCCCGGGATCAAGATCAGGTTAGTGGGTGATTTGTGTTTGATTTTAAAATGACAACTGAGGAAAATAATCAAAATATTCAGAACAATAACAGTTTGTGGGTTTCAGTGGCTGCACTCAGCACCATCTGTTGTGGAGTGGGGCAGGGGGGAGGATAATGTTGTTCACTTGTGTGTGTGTGTGTGTGTTGTCAGGCATGTGTGTTTGTTTGTGTGCAGTGTTTACAAAGTGCCATGTTTCATTTCTTCAATCTGCAATATGCAGATGTGGGTATTTTTGACAGTGCCACTGTATTTCAAGATGTTGTGGCTGCAAAATGACGTCTTGTTTTGAAGTCATGGTTTCCTCTTCTTCTTTTTTCATGTCACTCTTTTGACCACTTCTTGATCTTACCTCGAGTAAATGCTCCTTTACTCCCACACTTTTGCCATCTACCTCTTGTTTTTTTCTTCGACAACATCAACAACTCACTTACCCCTCCCTCCTTCTCCTGCTCTATTCCCTAGTGTCTCTCTCTCTCTCTCTCTTTCCCAGTGGGTGAGTCTAGAGCTGTGTCGCAGTCAGATGACACTGTCTGACTCTGCTCTACTGTAATCTGACATGGCTAATCTAATCTCTCTGTCTTCGCAGATTGGCAAACTACCTGGGTCTTTCCAGCCAATTAGGGCCCATCTGCACAGCACGCCATGCAGACCAAATCCAGCCACGGCAGGGCCCCAGCCAGCCCGGTCGAGCCGCTGCAGGGCTCAGCGATGGCTCAGGCTGTCTGGGGCCCCGAATATCTGCTTCCATAACAGCCCATCTGCCCTTGGCTTGGCCTGGTCCACTTTCATCCCCACTGGCCCCACAGATTAGGGATCCTCTGCAGACTTTATGGCCAATTATAGCACTTGCTGCGGTACAGTTGTTGGGTAATCACCAACGCTATGATTCATTGCTGCTTTAAGTGGGCTAATTTGGCTCTGACTTTAGCCTCTTAAACATCGCTGCTCCCGTAATTCAGAGACATTTCCTTTCATAATTGAAAACAGGATGTTATAAAAGAATTCATAAGAAGTTAAGTTTTTACCATTTATTGGGTAAGATTTAAGAAAAACTATAAATGATGAGGCACGTGTTTAAATCCTAAAATGTATGGTATCAGTCATTATTCCATCAAAATTGGAATATGAAAAAGGTTTGGCCTTTATTGGTATCACTAAAATAATTAGCTCATTGACTTTTCACTGTGTATTCTCAGTTATCCTGCTTCTAAGGCAGAAGTGTTGCTTTTAAACTCCCTTTTCTATATTAAAAATGAATTTAATCATACACCATTATACATAAAAATAAGTTATTTCACTATTTTCTTCCGGCATGTGTTGTCGAATGATATAATGCATATAAAACCACTAAATCGAGGTAAATACTCTAAAACAAGGTCAGAGGCCCTCTAACAGCTTATTTTCTCATCAAGCCAGTCTCACTTAATCACCTTAACTAAATTAGTTAGAAATTAGCCCTCTTTCTAACTCCCCATCCTCCATCTTTCCCCTCCTTTTTCCTCCCCCTTTTCTCCCCAGTCGTTTTCACAGCTTTGTGGATTAGACAGATTACACGTCTGAAACTTTGTTTTTGTTCTTTCTCTCTCTCTCTCTGTTTCAGTCCTCCGTCCTGAATCCAAGTTAATCCAAGATGCACACTGTCTCAACATGTTGTTTCACCCCCCCGACCTGTTTGAGCTTAAATTATCACACAACAGATAGATCCAGATGGAGTGATGGTATGACAGGATGGGTTTACTAGAGAGGGTAAACTCATATTTGTCTATTTTCAAAATAAACAACAGGAAAATACTTTGCTTTAACTTATACTCTTTGTCTTACCACCTGTGATTACTTCCCAACTCAGAAACATATAATTATTTACCGCTATATGTGTCACTGTGTGTAAACTTCCTGTTACTCAGTACAGGTGTTTTTGGTGACGCACACTTGACCTTAAATTGCTGCCAGATGATTGCTCTATAAGCTGGCCTGTACTTAGATTTATAGTCAGCTAATGCTACTTTAAGAGAATGAGGAAAGGAGGACAGAGGAAAGCCATAAAGATTGATGAGTAACATGGTTGTAGGCTGATTAGTTTTCATCGCTCTTACATGTTAATCACAGGTTATAATCCAGTGGGAACATACGCTGCCAAACTGAACTAGACTTTTGAAAAATTCAGTAGATTAAATACCGCCACAGTATTTTGCCTACAGGTCCTGAGAGGAGTTTTTAGCTGGCAATGAAACAGACTGCGGCTACATGAGCCACGAAAGCAAACAAGAGAGTAATCATTTATGTGTTATGTGCCAGAGGAGATGATTTAAAGCGTTCTGCTCATGCCGCATTTGTTTTCATTTTTCACTTCAAAGCTTTAGTATGATGGACTGATATGTGTCATGGTTAAAAGATGATAGGGTGTGAGTTTTGTTCTTGGGGAAAGATTGGCATGATAAAACATCCTGATTTGTCAACACTGGCGCCAAGATTGACAGTCTGTGACTGGTCATGAAGCAGATTAATAATAACAATGATATCTCTGTATGACCAACAAAAGCAACACACCATAAATCATCTTGTCTGTCGACACTAAAAACTAGAATGTAGAAAGTGTGAATCCTGCAGCTGATGGCTTTATTTTTAAATTTTAGGGAAAACATTCACAGTAAGTGACACATTTTACTGTAAAAATTGGTATTTTTTAAGAGTCTTTTTTTTATGGGATTTAGATTGACAATTGGAGAAATCAGTGACACATAAAGATGCCTTTTTTCTGAAGCAGTTGGAATTGTGATTTTTTTTAAAAACTTTTATCAGACCAATGGATAAAGTACAAGGAAATACATGGAAAATTAGGTTTATTAGGTCTCAAAGTTTTTGGAGTTTACAGTTTCTATTTTTTTAAAGAATTTTTTGTTCATGAATGCCTAATTTTAGTTATTTTTTTGAATTTTTATATGGGCCCCTCATGGCACTTTTTTTGCACAGTTAAAAATAAAGAAAAATACTTTAATTTCTCATGTATTGTCCTACTTTGATATATTTTGATGACTAGTACTTTTTCTTGGGTATATTATTTCGGGTAAAAATCACCTGGTGATAGTGACGGTGTTACTAATTTTAGCAAGTGTGCTAGGGTTAAATGTATTTTTTAATTTGGCGTACTTTTAAAATGAACACTCTGGATCAATTTCATATACCTTCAGAATAACATATAATTTATTAAAAAAACAATTTCTTCGGTGAAAATTGTTAAAAGCTACATTTATCACGTTTTGGACGAATAACTGAAACGCACGCGGTAATACGTGACATAAACGTAAGACGTCTCCTGTACGTAAGAGACGTCGTTTCCTCTGTAGAGGACACGCGCAGCAGGCGGTTTGTACGAATGTGTGTGTGTGTGAGAGGGAAAATGCTTTCACTTTCACTCTCCGCCGCCCTTTGACTCCGTGTGGACGTTTGTAGCACACAAAAAAGAGAGTTAAAAAGACATACACCGAGCTGCAACAGTTACGGCGACACAGGGAAACTCAGGAAGACATTGAGGAACTCCGCCATGGCGTTTAAGTATCCGGCTGCACGGAGAGATGAGAGTAAGGTCAGTGTTTGAAGTCAGAGTCGAGCTCTCTCTCTCTCTGGTCCTTTTTTTTCCTGTGTCATTCTGTGGCAGGAACAGAGAGGAAGGGAGGGCCTGTGTTATGAGAGAGAGAGAGAGAACAAGAAACAAAAACAAAACTTGGAGCTCGTCTTTAACTTACACGAAATGACGCCGCAGCGGTTCACTTCACTAAGTTCACATGTTTCAGTACACTGCAGCTGCTGACCGTTGACGTCGTTTTCAAACTCCTGACTTGCACGCGAGGCGATAGTTCGGTTTTCCTTATGACCGTTAAAACACTGAGTCACGATGAACCCACTAAACCCCCTAATCACCTGAACACAGTGGAGTAATGATCATTTTCCTTAAATAGTTATATAAATTTAATACACTAAAATCTCTGATAGTTTCAAATACTAACTTGCAGGTTGTAGTATGCTGTTTCAAATCTTGTCCATATAGGGGAGAGTGGGGTAAGTTGAGCCAAAGGGTAAGTTGAGCCACCCCTTGTTGCTTGGAAATGGCAAAAGAAATTGATCATGTGACCTAATATTTAGGAGATGGGCATCAATTCTTACTCTTGAGAGTAAATTTAGTCTGCAGGACTCTCAAGTGTTGAACTAAGCTTGGAGTGAGATTTTTTTTTGGGGGGGTGAAAATTTTAAAAATGAGGACTACAAGACTTAAGTCATTATTATAAAGTCATAACTAACGAGACCAAAGTCATTGATTTATGAGAATAAATTAGTGAAGTTACCTGTTGTGGATGAGAGTTGTTAAAGAAAGGACTTTGGAGCATTCTGATGAATTGTACTTCAGTCTAGGTTTCACAAACATGGAGATATTTTATCGTTTGGTACATAAGCATAACATTGGCATGATTATCAGAACTTCAAAAAGAATATATGAGAAATGCATCTTTTCCACAGGAAAAAAAAAACTGGTGAACTTTGAGGGAAATGGCTGGACAGAGGCTAAATCCTTCAAAACAGCTGTTAATAGCAATAGCATAGGGCTTTAGTTTATCATATGTGTCTATATGCCATAAAGTGTTGAGGCCTCTGCATATGTAGGTTACTAACTTACTGTAATCATTGGGTCTTTGTCGTCCTTATGGCACCTGCTTCATTTCGGCAAGTGTCCGTCTTCAAAATCTACCTACAGTCTACAGTCTGTCATAAGTTTTATTAGACTTGTGTTCAGGCCGAAAAAAGATATCATTTTAAATTTGTTTCATCCATCAATTGTGGTATCTATGAGCTACAACATGCATTCAAGTCCACCATTTTAGCTTAGAGGACTAATAAAGTCATGATAGTAGTTCTGGGGTAACTGAGAAAGTAAAGGAGTCTGATGAGAGGATCAGAGTTCCAGTTCAGATTGTTGACATGTGTTATGTTAAGAATTATTATACCAGTTGAATAGCGTACAATAGATAAAAATACACATGAATGTGAAGAAGTGACTCGTTTAGGCAGAGAAGGTGAGGGAGGGCTGGGGTGGAGTGTGGGGGGGTAGTAGGTAGGGGTGGGAGGAAAAATCAATTCGCACAAGTATCTGGATTTTTTGTGATTATAATTCTTAAATCGATTTTTATGTCCAAAAATCGATTTTTTTTTTTCAAATTTAAGAATAAGACTTAAAAACTGACCTACACGTGATGTGTATTTTTGGGGGAAATATGAATCCTGGAATAGTCAGTAGACAATCATAATCATTCAATCATTTCACTTGTGTTTAAAATGCAGACTAAAAATCGAATGGCAATTTTAAATCGAATCTGCATCCAAAAAATCGTAGAAGAATTGAATTGGGAGAAAAGCATATCGTCCCAGCCCGAGTAGTAGGGATACGGCTCTATGTAATAATGTCACCTAAGTTACTTGTAAAGAGTAAAAACAAAACTGCTAATGCAGAATGAAAAAAAGTCTGTTGTTGCAAATAAAGTTTTCAAACCTCATTTTAGCACCTTATTTCTTGAAACAAGTTGCCCCCCTGGATTAGTCAGATGGATGTGTCCTTTGTTAAGTTTGATAAAACATCTTTTGGTCAGAGAGGAAAAAAAACCTGCTTTGTCTTGAGTCTGTGGTGCAATAACTTTCAAATAAAGTCCAAACAAAAGTCTAAATCTTAAATCTGCTCATTTGTATTCATATGTTCCAACCGTAAATGCATCAGAATTAGCCTTCAAACCCACCATATGTCATTTCTGTGTGACTGCAGGATGTAAACTCCTCTTAAGGTGATTATAACCCACAAATGAGGACACGACCTCTGTCCTGAAACTCCCCTCCTTGAGCACACAGCAGAATTCTGCAGTGTTTGCAGCCAACACACCATAAACCAGTTATCTGCCGTAACGAAAGGGTTTTAGTGGTAATGGCTCGCGCATCAGCTGGAGACGTGCTGCAAACTTATGCAACACAACAAAGGGGAAATGTGTCAAAAGTGGGAATGAATCTGATTGAGGAAAGATAGACTGAAAAAGAGGAACACAGGAGACATAGATCTTCATAAACATCTACCCAAAGACACTTATGACACAAGTCAGAGATTAGATAACAATTGAGGCAAATGAGGAACTCCTTCATTTCATTAAATTATAAAAAAAAATATAAAAATATATATATATATATATATTTTTTTTGTAAATTTACAGACGAAAATCCAAAACTAAACAGACCAGTACAGATCACATCCGTATGCTAAAATAGCAATGCGTTCAATAAAGGTCATTTCGACTAACATCCCTTTTCTAATATCACAGCGAGGTGTTAAAAAATTACACTGACAGCTGAGTTTACTTCTCTTCCAGGTACACTTCACTTTAGAAAAGATCAGAAATGAATGATCCGGCCACTGACCCAGAAAGATTAGACTTCCCTGTTACAGAAATTTATGAGCATTGAGAGTCGTTTCCAGAATATACAGTACCAGATTGTACAGGAAAATAATGCTTGTAACTTATACTTGTGATCAGTGCAGTGAGTCAGCCATGCTAGGTTTTATCAGGTATCAGTATTACATGTGAGATTTGCAAGAACAACCATGCACTACTGTTTTATAAAAAATGTAAAATGCTACTGCAGCATCGGTTATCGGTTTGTGTTTTACTTTTGTTAACGTCAGTTCATTTGGTTGTTTCTGCCAGTCTCAGATGTGTTGCACAACAGACTTGGTTGCCACTTTCACTTTGCTATTAAGCGGTAACAAGCTTTGGTGAAATTCTCAGGAATATTTTGGCGTGCTTCTTAAGAAATGAGCACAGCTTTTTCATAACACGGCGAACTTAAGCGGCAACAACGAGCCAAAAAAATCTAAATGAAGCGTTCGGCCAAGGCACCTGGACTTTTGCAGAAATTCCTCACAATAAAACTGATGGACAGGACTGTAATGTTTGTTGATGTTCCTGTTTAACTTGTCTTTTTTTTTTTTGGCAACAGGTGAATGACTACCATGGAAATAAGATCTGCGATGCCTATGCATGGCTTGAGGACCCAGATAGTGCAGAAACAATGGTGTGTTGGATCATTTGCAAAAGGGGGAAGCATGTTTTTACTCGTTACTCTTGACATTTCAACCTTTCTGTCGTTATCTCAGGCTTTTGTGGAGGGGCAGAACAAACTGACTATGCCGTACCTAGAGCAGTGCAAGGTGCGGCCCCAGTTCCACCAGCGTCTCACGGAGCTGTATGACTACCCCAAATACAGCTGCCCCTTTAAGAGAGGAAAGAGGTACTTGTTGGAGTTTATAGGACTGGAAAATAGACACTGATAAGTCTAGAAAGCTGCATGATCTCAACTGTCATGAAACAAGTAATCACAGCTGACTGAAATACATCCTGGCATACACAATCTTATGTAACAGTAAGGGAGCTGAACTAGTTTGACTCAAGAATCGGTTGTTAAATTTGAATCAAGTTGCGATGAGCTTGTGAAAAACTCACACTCTTACACATCAGACTTACTGGCTTGAATTTCAGATCTGGTAACATGATTAAAAAGCTTGTTTCACTCTGTTTTTTTTTTGTTGTTTTTTTTTAGGTACTTCTTCTTTCACAATAAAGGTCTGCAGAACCAGGATGTGCTGTATGTGCAGGATACTCTGGACAGCCCTGCCTCTGTATTCTTCGACCCAAATACACTCTCTGAGGATGGCACTGTGGCCCTGAAGAGTGAGCTCATATACTGTGTAGTTTTATGTGTACAAACTTTTATCAATTCATAAAAGGGGGGAAAAAAAGCAGAGGACTGACTTTCTCTATTTCTCCTTCCAGTGGGCCGTCTGTCTGAGGAGTGCGAGTACTTTGCGTATGGCTTGAGCAGCAGTGGCTCAGACTGGGTGACGATCCATTTCATGAATGTTGAGGACCTCAAACCTCTGCCTGATGTGCTGGAGAGGGTCAAATTCAGCTGTCTGGCCTGGACTCACGATGCCAAGGGTGTATTCTACAACAGCTTCCCACGGCAGGAGGGCAAGGCTGATGGTTAGGATAGATCACTGTGCAAATCTGTAAAAAAAAGAAAACATACGACAAATGCACTCAAGATTTCACCTCTGTGTTTCACTGCAGGCACGGAGACCACCACCAATGTCAACCAGAAGCTCTTCTACCATGTCATGGGTACCAAACAGTCCGAGGACATTCTGGTGGCAGAGTTCCCTGATAATCCTAAATGGCAAAGTTCAGTCTCTGTAAGTATTAAGTGATCTCCAACAAATGACTCAGAATGAAATCCTCACTTTGCAATTAAGATCATATGAGTTCTAGTTTCTAACTTATCCCCAATAAGAGGCACAAACGAGGGATACACCGATCCGCTTTTTTCACCTCCAATACTGATACAGATATCTACAGTTTAGTATCGGCTGACACGATCCAATCGTGTACAGAAAAGCTGCACTGAATTACCTTTAGTTGTAACTTGAAGTTTTACCACCACCACTCGTAGCATTTACTGTGCAGGCATTGCAAGTGGCTGTCCAGCTTGTAGGCTGAGGTAGTGTCATAAAGTTCAAGATAGGAGACCCGCTCTAACCGAGACCCTGCTCGCTCCATTTTGAAAACAATGTGGGCGTCCTCTCAGCATGTTTACTTGAGGATGCCGCTCTCCTAGAATAGACAGAATAGATCGGCCCCTATGCATCGGGCCCATTGTCACATTACCCGATCTAGAATTTTCTTCAGTATCAGGATATCAGTTACCGATATCAAATATCGGATCAGTGCATCCCTAGCACAAACATAGTTTTCTGAATGGTGTGATGAGTCGGCTGATCTTGTTGCTCTTCACATTTGTGCTGAACTTGTTAATAACTTTTAGGACAGATGTGATTTTTGAAAAAATTTATATGTGCACGACTTGGCTCTGAAAGCCATTTTTTGTGCATGAACAATAAAATGAAGATCTGTTTGGGATAAAAAAAATGTTCTTGCTGAGACAAATGACCTTAGCTTATTAAAAAGAGGCTGAAATCTCCTCCCTAGGATCTACATTTAGGTTGTTTAAGGGTTCCTATGCAAGTATGGAAAGTATGGAAGTAATTTGATCAATTCCCAGGCCTTAAAAAGTATGGAAAAATATCTATGTTAACAGACTATATTACGACAGTTCTAAAATACTGTTTTCTAAAAAAAAAAAAAGTAGGTATTTCCAAAAATAATTCTAAAAAGTAGGTTATGGAAAAGTATGGAAATTCCAACTGTGTAGGAGCGCTGTTGTTTACCTGAGAAAGAGCTCTGTTCTGACATGGTAAGATGGATCATAGACAGCATGAGCACCTTAATGGACATGTTGTGTTCGGGTTATATCTTTTACTGGACTTGGACCATGTGGACCCCCTCTGTTGTTGCAGAAGACAAAGCTTGAGAAAATGATGATAATAAGAGTCACTTCTTCCAGATCTCAGATGATGGCCGATATGCTGTTTTGACCATACATGAAGGCTGCAAGCCCGTCAACCGGCTGTGGTACTGTGACCTTCAGCAACTCCCAAACGGCATCACAGGTCTGTATGTTTGTGGAAAACACCTAGAGTAAACAAAGTGTCTGTAGACAGCATAAGATTATACTATATTTGTATGATGAAGAGGGCTCAAAATAACACGTTAACTTTTAACTAATCACAAAAAAGCGAACATCAAAAATATCCTGACAGATGAATCACACTCTGTTGTCCTACACAACACTAATTATAGGGAAGCTTCAGAGATATGACGAAATATTTGCTTTCTGCAAAATTAATCATATCTGTCTCTCTTTCCCATGCCTTTCACAAGACTAGCATACAGTGACACTTGAACCCTATTAACATTAACTCTTTTGCTATGACGAATAAGCTCAACCTTTACAAATCAGTTACATATCATGTCTGATGTGATCATTGAAATTCAGAATAGCTGATAATTTAGTTTCTCTCCATTCACCATCCAAACAACTGAACAGCAAACCTCCATTTGAGGACTTGCTTACAAGATGAAGATTGTACTCAGTGAAGCCGCGCAGGGATTGATTGTTATTATTTGTTTGGATCTCTTTTTCAATGTCGTTTCCAGCTGTGAGATGTGTTTATTAGAGTTGCCCCTTCTCAGAGCTGCAGTAGCTCACGTACAACACTCGTGGTTCCTCTTTTGCTGGGGGAGCACCTGCTCTGCTGGCGCAGACGTTGAAGAAATCCCTGTTATTGGCTTTCTAAGAACACAGATTGTTGGCAGGTCAGGCAGTTTAAAGCCAAGAGAAAGTATCAGTAATCTTGAACTTTTCTCAGAACTTTGACAGAGTTTCTAAAGTGTGAAATCACCTTGTATGTCCTTTTTTGTATCTGGTCTGGATGTTGTCAGTGCGTGCTGTGTATGAGTAACCTCTTTGACAATCATTGGAATGACACAAGTCATCTTTAATTATTGAAATTTCTGTCTATTTCTACATTTTCTCCTCCAGGTTTGCTGCCTTGGGTCAAACTCGTGGACAACTTTGACGCCCAGTACTCGTACATCACCAACGAGGGGACTGTATTCACTTTCCGTTCCAACTTAGATGCCCCTCGCTACTGCCTGATCAACATTGACATCCAGAAACCAGACAAGCAGCACTGGACTGTCCTCCTACCGCAGCATGACAAGGACGTCTTGGGTGAGAGTTTTTGGAAATTTCAGCTGAGAGTACAATAGGTCAAGTCAGCCCTCATGCCTGGTATCGGTTCTCTTCAAGAGGACAGTAAAAAATCTTACAGTTTACTCATCCTTGTCACGACAGCTGTGTGCTTGTGTTTGAGCGTGTGAAAACTCCACCAGACTAGGAATACGTAAAGGGCTCGTATACGTAGAGAGTGACTTCCACAATCAGCCCTCAAACTGTTGTGACATACTTTTTCACTGGGTGTCTGTCCCAACGTTTCGGTGACAGTCTGACCACAAACTCAGGGAAGTTGAAGAGTCTGTGGTTGAATACCTTCGTCAGTGGGAACTCAGCAGAAAAAGTGAAACTTGGTCCATAAGCACTTTGACTCAACCTTTTTTTTTTTTAAGAGTCATCTCAGTTATGGTAACCGTGCCTCGAAATCACTGACTCAAAGAGCAGTGAATTTCCATGTTTCTGCTGGGTTAAACCCGTGCTAATTCTCATGCAGATCAGTGTGTGTATGAACATAAATGTTATATAGGTCACTTTTTAGAAGTTCATGAGTAGTTCAAGCTCCCGTGAGAACATTTTGATGGAACAGACTGATGTGTCCTTATGATGTGTAAAAGTAAATAAGATGACTGGTGACAAAACTGACAACATCTAAAAGAAACCGTTTTAAGATAAGATTAGATAAGAACTTGATTTATCCCCGAAAAAGGAAATTCAGTAATTTTAGTGCTACAAAGAGCTAAAAGGCTGAAAAAATCCCACCTTAGTTACTTTTCCTACATCAAATTTTCACGCTGAGATCATAACTTAAGTTTCACAAGAATGAGACAAAATCAGCAACAACACTAGGGTTACCGCTTTGTCCACAGGGGGTGCCCTAACAGGGGCTTTAATGTTAGTTAGGTAATTATGTCATATGAAGAAAACTGTGAGGATGCCCAGCCCAGGTTCACTCTTGAAAGAATGGTAGGTCAACACGAATGGTCAGTTTGACAAGCTTTACTGGTTGCAGATCTTGATTACAGCTTCATCATGCCACAAGTGTAACAAAGACTGGTCTGAGAATTTTCAAGTATATACAGTCTTCTGCACCTCCAAGCATTCTGCTGGCATTTAGTTGACCTGAAGAAGAGTCCATGTAGGGTCAGAACAAAGGACAACATATTTTAAGGAGCCGTAGTTGAACATATGGAGAGCCCATGTAGGGGAACACCATAGCAGAACATATTTTGGGAACCTGAGTGATGTCAAAAATGTGTACAAGGTTTTTTGTGGAGGATGGTTATAGGAGGTCCTTGGCTCTAACACCAACGTATCCATGGTGTCTGAGTTACGTGGCTCCACCGCCCTAAAGTCTGATGGGATTGGCTAAAGAAAATTCTCCGAACAAAAACGTTAAAAGAATCAGTAACCCTCACTTGGAAGTCCTGCTCGCCCGGTTGAGATTCTGATATACCGCCATTTACTTTACTCATGCGCAAGTTGAAATGCTTTCTGCTGTTGATTTATTAGGACATTGCTTATCATGGTGAGAAGGTCGTCCCTGGTGGTGCTTTTGCTGTTAGGATTTTATCAGCAGTGTTTTGACCACTCAGTATCAAGGCATCTTGATAAAGTAGTTATAAAAAGTAAACGTTCATGTGTTCCTCAGGAAGGCCTTTGGAGAATCCACAGCTATTTTCTAACATGTTGATTGTTTGGTTTCTGGTGAAGTTTTTAAAAGAATAATTTTAAGCCTCGAATGAGTTTCCCACTTCTGTTGTTTTATCTGTTTACTTTCCTCATTTGTTCTTAGCAGACTAGCAGTGCTAATGTTGCCACTGCATCAACTCTGCACTGTGTTCCAGCTAGGAGTTAGAGTAACAGCTGTTTTTTTCATACTATGTTAAGTAAAGTTGTGTTTTATCTCATAATGCAGCATTTCTTTATAGGAGGTGAACTGTTGTTTTCTTTTCTCCTCTGATAGAGTTGTCTTCTCTTCAGCTCATTTTTAAGCCCTAAAAAAGGTCCAGCATCTGTTTATTTGCATGTCTACTTTCAGATTTAGACACCGTGTTCATCAGGCCGTTGACTGTTGTTGATCTCAAGTATAAAGTCACTGATCTGACACTGGAATGAAAATGACCACATATGGTGTTGTGGTTACAGACTCATGTAAATTGTCACAGAGGGTAGAAAGCCTTTGTGTCACCTCAGCAGTGTGGCCAGCATCGTCCTGTGCAGCACTTGTAGTATATCAGATCGCCCCCTGCTGGTTAAAGTTTAGATTTCATCATTTTTCATCGATAGATTTATTGCATAATTTTTTAATTGACTCTTTCAAATTGTTGCTCTACATAAGGAATGCACCTAAATATAAGCAGTCATTGTTTTTAGGTTTGATACTTATTGATTTGTATTTTTTTATTTTTCCCTGACTCATTATTGCTAAAATAAAGCCCACAAATAATGTTCTCAGGAGCAAAAAGTGTTAAAAATTAAAACTTCTCTTCATTCTTCACTTTTTAACACTTAATCACATCCTTTCACCCTACAGGCTTGGTCTCCTGTTTGAACCAGCACCACCTGCTGGTCAACTACATCCATGACGTGAAGGACATCCTGCAGGTGTACGAGTTGTCCACGGGTCAGCTGGTCAGAGATCTGCCTCTGAACGTCGGTACCATAGCTGGAGTGAGCTGCAAGAAGAAACACTCTGAGTTCTTCTACAAGTTCACCTCCTTCACCACACCAGGTATAAGAGTAACACTCTTTTCTCTAAAGTTTTACAAGTTTTCAATTTTAATTATCAAGAATAAAATCAAAAAAGTTTCACTTTCACTTCACCTTATCAACGCTAGTAAATGGAGCAGAAATCTAACATCAGCAACACATTATCAGCTCTTTTACAGCATCAGGGGGAAAGTTTGTCTTATCTTTCACCGTTGCCCTTTTTCCTGAGGTCATAAAGTGCAACATGTGGGTGGTAGACCAAGAGATGCAAATAATCAGCACTAAGAAATGAGAGCGATTCTAAGATATGAGATTTAAAGCTTAGGAAAGAGTCTAACTCTTGAATATTAACGATCACAAACTGCGTTTAGTTACACGTGGTTACTTCTAATCTTTTTTCCCAGGTATCATTTATCACTGCGATTTGAGCGACGCCAACCCGGAGCCCAAAATCTTCAGAGAGGTGGAGGTCAAAGGCATCAAGCAAGACGACTATCAGACCAGCCAGGTGATGTTCTTGCCAGTCTTATTAGATTCTGTAGAGCTCATGTCGGTATTATTTTCACTTCCTCTTAACATTCAAGTTCAGACTTGTTCCCGTTTGTAATCACAATTACTTGTTTGGCTTTCCATGGATATTTTGGAGCCTTGGTGAATAAGTCGTGTTAGAAAAACGAACTCCAAAGCTGTTGTATTGATGTTGCGTTTGTCGTCTTGTGCATGTACAGGTGTTTTATCCTAGTAAAGATGGCACCAAGATCCCCATGTTCCTGGTTCATGCAAAGGGCCTGCAGAAGGATGGAAGTCACCCTGTTTTCCTGTACGGCTACGGAGGCTTTGAGAATGCCATACAACCTTACTACAAGTGAGTGTGACTGCTCTGCCTCGAGTCTCTCCAACCAGGGGCACCACTATCCTGTTATCTATCTGCTAGATAGACAGGTCAGCTGAGTAACTGATGACAAACGTTGACATGAGAGTGAGCTGATTGCTGGTTGTTGCCATGGTTGCTGACATGCAAGCAGATACTTTTAATCAGGGAGGAAAATATGAGGATCTACTTTGTGTCCTGTGATTGACTTGTCTTTGAATGTTTGTTTGCCTCCCCTAATAGTCATTTAAATCCCCTTAAAGTCTACCAGTAGAATGAATATATGAATGAAAAAATCAAAATAAGACCTGAATTTGTGTTTCAAGTTTGTGCCAACATGGCTTTACTTTCTTTGTGTGTCTTGTCTGTGCTCAGTGTTGCTTACCTTCTGTATGTGAGACACCTGGGAGGCATCCTGGCGGTGGCCAACATCAGAGGGGGCGGGGAGTACGGCCTCACATGGCACAAAGGTACACACACCCGAGGAACGAACTGGAAAAACTCTAAACAGATTGCAAATGAGCCCAACCCAGTCTTCTTCAAACTTCTTCTGCTGTGTTGTGTCTTGGTAGGCGGCATTTTGGGGAACAAGCAGAACTGCTTCGATGACTTTCAGTGCGCAGCTGAGTATCTGATCCAGGAGAAATACACCACAGCCAGCCGTATCGCCATAAACGGAGCCTCTAATGGAGGGCTGCTCGTGGGTGAGTATGGGAGCAAGTGTGCGTTTTGATTTTACAGAAAATTAACTCTGAAAGTCCGAGATGGAGAAGAAGAGAAGGTGAAAAGGTTTAAAGGATAATTCCCGGAAACATATGAAGCAACAGTCCATTACGTGCTGCACAAAGGAGTAGAAGTTTTTTACTCCATTTAGTTCCCATTGATACTGTAATACTAACAGTCCATATGCAGTATGTCTTAAAGTTTCTTAAAGCCCCTCAGAGCTCACACAGATTGCCTCTCCCTCTCTCAGCCCCCTTGATCACGCTGCTTTGTATTCTTCGCCGTACATCTCAGGCGTAATTACAAATGTCAAATTCATCTAACAGTAGTTAGCTGCTTAGCTTCAATTAATTAATCTACTAAACAGCACATTAAACCCTGCTCAGTCACATCATTTACCAAACACTGGCTGCCATATGGTCCTGCACAAACTCGGCGTACGCCTCCATCTCTGATGTGTGAGCGGCCCTGGAGGAGTGGTTATGTCCTGAAATGTTGTGTGAGATTACGAATATGTGTGCGTAACTTTTAACATAAATTTTGCAGCTGCGTGTGTGAACCAGCGTCCTGACCTGTTCGGCTGTGCGGTGGCAGAGGTCGGGGTCATGGATATGCTCAAGTTCCACAAGTTCACCATCGGGCATGCCTGGACCACTGACTACGGCTGTTCTGATGACCCCGAGCAGTTCAAGTGGCTCATCAAGTATGAAAAACACGAACACAATCAAGTCCTTTTGTTCGGGATCACGTTATAGTTCACGTTTGTCTTGTTTAACTCATCAGGTCTGATGGTGATATTTAAATGAGAAGCTCAACATCTGAATCACCACAAAGTTCACCTTCAAACCCTGGACTCTTATTTCTCTGATCAGAAACCGTCTTCATGTCTTCTTCAGGTATTCTCCTCTACATAACCTCCCTCAGCCTCCATACTCCGGCGCCCCCTACCCGGCCGTTCTGCTCCTGACTGCGGATCACGACGACCGGGTGGTTCCCCTCCACACCCTTAAGTTCTGCGCAGCCCTGCAGCACGGCGTGGGCAGTAGCCCCGCACAGCGCCAGCCTCTGATGGTCAGAGTGGACACCCGCAGTGGACACGGGGCCGGGAAACCCACCGCCAAGGCCATCCTGGAGGATACACACATCTTCTCCTTCATTGCTGAGACGCTCGGGCTCAGCTGGAAGGTTTGAGCGGAAACGGTAGTAAAGGGAGGTAAAAGATTCACACAGTGAGGGGAAGTTACTCCACAGGGATTTTGAGTGATGGATTTTTCTGGTTTTTAGGGGAGCACTCTTGAATGTTCTTATGCAGCTAAAGATCAAGATCAGATAAGATTCAAAGAGAATTACGCTGGTGAAGGGTGTAAAAAATCAACAACTTCAATTTCAAATGTGGTATTATATCTGAATATAATACCACAAAAAAAAATCATAAACCTGTTTAAATGTTTACATGGGGTCTGGAATACATTTTTAACTTTGGCTTAAGTTTTTAAATAAAGTCTATCTGCACTTTACCTTATCTGTTTATTCTTTATTGAATATAGTGCTAAAAATCAAAATAGAGTCGGGGTAAATATGTCTGGCAAGATCAAAAATGTTTGGGACGCTGTCAGAGGATGAATTCAGAGGTAAAATAGGAAGCAGTTGTGATCTTATAATCAAAATGACCTGTTGAAACTCAATATTGATCAAATGATGCAAAATTTTAGTGATTTTAATAAGAGGGATTTCACTGATTCAAATAAGGAGGCCCGATGTAGTGACAGCTGTTTGAAAAAAATGTAACAACTACAACAGTGGTTCTCAACTGATGGCTCCTGACCCATAAGTGGGTCGCAGACACGTTCTGGAAGGGTCATGAATAGCTTGTTAAAAAAAGTAAATATTTAATTCGATATTTATTCGATATTTTATATTTTCTTTATTTGCAACTTCAGTAGTTGTCGTCCTCATGTTGTCCCCTTCATGTGCCCTGACATGCACTTTACTCAATAAAACAAGTGGATTCATGTTAAAGATTAGAGTCTTTAAAGGTTTATTTTTTAATAAAAGATAAATTTGCTTAGTTTGAATACTTTAAAAGTGGATCACGATTCAAGGACCATGAGAAAATGTGGGTCCCAGGGTGAGACCAGTTGAGAACCACTGAACTACAATACATGGTGCAGTTTTCAAATACACCACTGAGTGGCAGTATTTGACTGTTAGATCGCTCTGCGAACCTGATCCTCTGCTAACTCCTCAAGGTGAGAGGCTGAGTGCAGTTCAGTGTCACTCTGCTCGGCTACTTTGAGCACCCTGTTTAATCCTTCCTCGTTTATCTCTGCGTGATAGGAAGGAATCAAACCACTGGCAGAGAAGAAGAAGAAGTAAGATCTAACTTTGTAAAGAGACAGAAGTAGAACACTCTGGATTAAGGATGAGTGCTTATATAAGAGGAGTGGGCTTGTGTAGGAAGATGCAAGTGAAGTGAGGCAGAGGGGAGATCTTTAAAGACTGTGCAGAAAAGTCCGGAGATGGGAGGCGATGATAGACAGCGGATATATGGCCAGACAGGGAGAGGCAACCCGCAGACAAGCCGAGAGAGACTCAAAGTGCACTTATGTAGAGTCTCGGGAGGCAGACAGACGGGTGTTTAAACTGTCAAAAACAGAGGGAGAGATGGAAACTCTGCGAGAGAAAGTTGTCCGTTCGGTCACTCAGAGTTTAAGCTCCTCTCAGTGGGAAGTTTGTGATTTCGTCAGACTGAACCCAGGGCCTTATCTAAGTACCCTCTCAGCGGAGAGATAGGATGGGAAAGAGGAGAGGAGGCTGCAGGAGGAGGATTTGCAGACAATGACTGTGCCACAGGGGCAAAGCGGTTGAATGAAGCCGAGGAAAGACAAAGCCGGTAGTAAGCTGGACATATGAGAGACACATGGAGAGAGAGCGCAGGGTTTAAGATCAGGCGGCAAAAAGACTTCTCCTTCTTCTTCTTCTTCTTCTTCTTGTCCCAGAGGATGGAGGAGGCTTTTTACTGCTTCATTTGCCTCCTTCTCTCCCTGCACAGCTCCCTGTTCACACATACAAGCACACGCTGCCTTCACATTTCTTTTCCTCCCGAGTAATACAAGCTTTTACCTACAAAAGCCTCAGCAGCTCCTCTCCAGGTCCCCCTCCTGTCCCCCATGTTTGTTTACTTTACTCCCCTCCATAATGCAGGGATTAATTTCTCAAAGCCGATTTGAGCAGCGGCACGCTTCGGCAAAGAGCGGAGAGCAGAACTTTTGTGCTGGGGGAAGTTTCCCCTTCACACTAGCTTAGAGGTGGACCTTTTTCTCCTTTATACCGCCCGCTTTAATCTCCACACAGAAGAGAGGGCGAGGGGGAGGACAGGGGGAGGGAGAGAGGGTTCTCAACACACGGCTGAGAGTCACTAATGTCTTTACAGAGGTGTCGTCTGCCCTCCCATGTGCCTCTTTCAGTCCTTGTGCTTTTCCTGCTCCCTCTCTGGCATTTCTTCCTTTTACATATCAGGGTTTGGGTTGTCCTTTTTCATGGTCTGAGTTGTAACTAGGTTTAATCACTTATTTAAAAATGAGCATCTTAACTTGTAAAAATAGAGCGCAAGGTCTGATTATGATAAAATATCACATTATTGAACTTTTTTAAAATCAACCAGTTTTGTTTCAAAGATGAAAAAGTCATAAAAAATGATCATTAAAGGCTCCTGGGTTCCAGATGGTTTCTTTATTTTGCATTTCAAACCAAAATCTTTTGACTTTATGATTATAATAAACAGAGAAAATACTAGCAAATTCAGCAAAGTTAAAGCAAGAGAGTGCAGCCGCTGGTGGTTATTGTCATTATTTCTTACATTATTATTATAAGCCTCATGTCTCGTAGCTTATAATTATTAAAATGACTATTTTAAGCATTATGTTTTGGGGAATTGTTAAAAAAAAAACATCATTAGCATCTTTCAGGGGTTATTTCTGACCACTTTAAAGCTCCAGTGAGGAGTTAAAAAATTAAAATTAAAAATACTAAAGTTTATCTTATGAAAGACAAAGGCCATCAGTGATAAGATTCATAAATATTAAATTGTTTCTTTTAATGCCTGAAACTGATGGGGTTGAGAGCCCAAAAAACAGCCCAGTTTTATACATTTTCCACTTCAAATATTCTCAATAAATGTTAATCTGAGTGTCAAAAGCCAGAATGATGAAACTCCCAAAGCATGTAGAGGACAGGATGAGAAAAGACTCCATAGACTTTGAAAAGGCACCAACATTGACACAAACCCAAAATTCCTCACAGAAGCTTTAAATGTCATTTCATTACACAAAACTTCCAACCAATATTTAAAGCTCCAATGAGAAACTTCCACTCCGTGTTGACTTTGCTGCCCCCTTGTGGATGAAGGGTAACCCCTTATATTATTGCCAATGTCTCATTCTTGTAAAATTGTTAAGTGAGAGAAATAAATCTCTCCTTTTTCTTCGTTTTTACACTGATATTTCTCACTGATCATGAATATTTACTTCAGGAAAAGAAACTAAGGTACCCGCTCCCTCTCAGCACTTACAGGCATTAGAAATAACACTCACAATATCACCGTCCCGTCATCAACGGTCTCATTTCCTTTCATACATCAGATACTCAGTGCTAGTTCAGAGCCAGTGCCTAATTTGGAACCAGTTCTTAATTGCAACTTATCATTAGAGTATAGATATTGGGGTGGGGGCCTAATAGGGTGGGTTTCTTCACTGCGATAAAGCACGAATACCTCGTGTTTATCTGAAATACTTGGTTTTATTCCTGTAAAGTGCTTCATAAGAAAGTCCCATAAATACAGATTCTTCTTATTAAGTAGTCTGACTAATACAGAATTATTGGTATCAACATGTAAACACAAGCATTCTCAGTCTGTCACTACTTTTTAATTCTTACTGTGAGGTTCAGTCTAAAAAGGTTATCTCCCTCTTGATGAAACACCTCACTGCGTCAGATATGATGAACTCTAATTCTCTCCAGGTTATCCGAAGACTCTAAACCCGTCTTTGAGTGCTGTGACGGTTCTCAAAAGCCATAAATTCCAAGTAACAACAATCCATATTCTGCATTTTGAAACACGATTTGCTCTAATCTCCCGCCTGTCTCCCTGTCCCAGTCTCATTTACAGTGAATAAACAGGCAAATCTGATTGAAGATTTACGCTGGAAACCATGAGAAGCCTGATTAAAAAAAAAAAAAAAAACACAGACCAGCACAGCGGTCCCTCGCCACTGAGGAGAATGACTGTTCGGTGTGATGTTTACGTACAAAGACTGATAACATTTATTATATTGTACCACAGGGGAATAGGAGGCAGATAGCAGTTGATTAGGCTGCTTTTTGCCTCATTTAGCATATGTGCAGGTGCTAATCGAGGCGACTGACCCGGAGCATTAAAGGTCAGGAGTAAAGACGAGCGTTTCATCATTAACATTCTGTAGATTAGAACAAACAATCGACTTAAACGGCTGCATTTCTATTTCTTATTTTAAAGCTCATGTAGAGAATTTTTTAACTGGTTATGAAATTCAACGGCCTCTTTCTGACCAACAAAGGTAATTACAACCAACAGAGAGACAACTCACTACGCTACTTTCTTCATTCTCTAATTCGTAAGAGTTGAAAAATCCGAACTAAGTCGGATCATTTGCGCTTTGATAGCCAATCAGCATTGAGATTCACATGGATTAAGCGAGTAAACACAATAAGTTTAGGCGTTAAGGAATAACATGAGATACGGCTTTTAAAAACTATAAATCAGTCAAACAGAAATTCCTGGTTGGTCTAAATATACTGACAGTAAAATACCACGTTTTTTATTCACTTCTTATGCAAGTTTGTTGCTTCTCCAAACATGTTACATAACATACCAATCATAAACCATGAAAACATGCAGTTCAGAAGTTTAAGATAATCTTTCAAAGGAACTAAGCTACAGTAAAAGTAGTATTGTTTAGTAGCTATAGCAACACTAAATAAAAAACCACCAACAGGAAGGCCATCACGTTGTTGCAAAACTCAACTGCAGTTTTCCAGGAACTCTTAAAGTTTCACCACTGACCAAACTTCGTCAACGTGACATTACAAAGAAGTTAAAAGTCCTTAGAAACACTTTGTCATAGAGTAAAACATGCGACCTATCTGCTTAGTTACTGGAAAAGCAGAAAAAGACCATATCCTCTACAGCTCACTTTTGTCGATACTCCCTCTAGTGGTGTAATTTAGTAACTACAACTCAAGAAATTCAGAAAACATCTAAATTTTGACCAATTTTTATGATTAATTCTGGACATTTGTGGATGATATATACATCCCCACTTATGGGGGGCGCCAGAATCAGCACAACTGAAAGTTCATCAGGTCAGCTGAAATAAAGAAAAACTGAATATGCAACACATTTCTGTCGAGCCATCATTACACTTTAAGTGCTCAGTTTCTTAGTCAGAATCTTAATGAGATATGTAAATAAGCTCTTTCT